AAGGTTCAGACTCCTCCCCAAGATGGCTGCTGAGGTATAAGAGGCTTGCTTTGTCTCCTCCCTAAGATGGCTGCTGTGTTTACTGCTAGAACTGGTTCTTTGGCAGCCTTGTCCCCTGGATAAATGACCCATGACAAGATGGACAGATGTGGAGCCACCTGGATGGGGGAAGCTTAAATATTGCAGCTCCTTGTGGAAGCAATCAAAAAGTCAATGGGTGTTTCCATTTTCTGGCAGAACATTATCATAAGCATGCCTGGGATTTTTAAGTTCATTTTTTGAACTTTTGTTTTTATTTTTAAAGGTTAATTGTCTGGCTGAATGCAAATTTATTTCAAAGCCTGCTGCATTCTTTCTATTCTTTTTTTTTCATTTTTTTTTACATACAATAAATCCATTTCATTTCAATCGTGTGTCAATTGGGTAGATATTTCATGTGCTTACAAATAATAATAATACTCTTTTTATCAATATAATAATATAACAATAATCACATTCCCATATAAATAATATAAGTACTATCCAATATATCTACTTCAACAGCTTCTCTTACTACTTTATAACCATCTAATCTATTTTTTTTATTTATTTATTTTCTAACTATTGATAAAACAAATCCCATACCATGTAATATTCAGATTCTTCCTTTTCTTTGATTTCTAAAGTTAGTCTATTCATTTATGCACATTCAAATTTTATTTATTTATTTGACTGCTCTTGTCAATTTCTGCTTTCCATATGGAAACCTGGCACATGACTCTGGATTTGTATTTTATTAGCCTGCAAAAACTTTTGGGATTGAAATAATCAGAAAATATTTTCTCTGCCTTCTTTGCTTGCTCCCTGCTTTGAAAAACACCGTATAGGTTTATAGAGAGAAGGAGGCTGACACTCAAAGGGAAAAAGAATCTGGCTAGCAACATGCAAACTAGTTGAATTTTTTTTCTAAAAAGTTTGATGCACTTACAAACTGGAAAACATTTTGAAAAAAAAAAAAGACATTAAACGTTAAACTTAAAAGAAGAACTTGTTTTCAAAGTAGCAGATTTGTTGGGAAGAAACACAGACGCAGGAACCACACAGATTGTGGTGAGCATTGAGAAGAAATGTCATTTCCTAGCTGTAAATTGGCCAGGAAGAAATATAGGTTCAGAAATAATAGAGCCAACTCCATTTTCCTTCTGGAAGCTTAACATCATGCTTTTATATAATAGCAGAGAGCTCTTTGAGTAGACTAGTGGCAAATGATTTTTAAGGGGTTTGAAGGATAGTGGGAAATGGATTTCATACATATAATTGAGGAATGATCTTATCTGTTTCTCAAGGGAAGATAGATTGGCTTTGGAGATTGGATTTATTGTATTCAATTAATCAGCAATTGATAAGAGATGATATACTGTAAAGAAACCAACATGGATATTTGATCCAGGACCAATCAGAGTTGATATTGTGGAAGATTTGGAGTTGAAGCCATAGTTTATTACAATAATAGTTTGTTATCAGATAGTTCTGGAATTTCAATCTTCTCTTTCTTTTATCCACAATTTTTATTACTTTTTTACTTATTACTTTATTACTTATTAATTTGATATTTTTATATAATGTATTTATTACCATTGTTTTTTTCTGTTAATTATTTTATTATGAATATAGTTTATAGATGACAGGTTAATAATTTGTAAATAGATTTAGTAGTTTAAAATTTAAATTTAAAATTCTTTTGGCCTATTTCGCAAAGGATGGGAAACCAGCATTGCTGTATTACATTAATCACCATTCAAATAGGGAGGGTGTTACATGTATATGCATTAGTCTTTTTTTAAAGACACTTTCTTTTTGATGTCCTGTTTGCTGTGTTTTTATTCTTTTGTCCTTTAAAATATTTTGGTGTTTTGTATCTTAACCTTCTTTGAATAAACTTAAAATTTTCTGAAAAGAAAAAGGGGCAAGATTCAATCACTTTATTTATTTTGTACCCTCCCTCATCCACGGACATCCCTGTTTAATTACAAACCACTTCCGTATTGTTGCTAAGAAAACTATTTATTAAATCAGTTGAGCCTTGAAACACATATTTTGTACATTCTTTGTATGAGCATCCGTGGGGGTGTGGCAAAAATAGCTATCGTCAATAAACTACACAGTTGATGCAAATTCTATAGTTGCATCATATGTTTAATCCTGTTACGTCTCACACATCTTTCTGATGTCATTGTGACTTGTTAGGGAGGTGTTTAGTTCTTTGAATGTGTTTTAGCAATAGCATTTAGACTTATATACTGCTTCATAGTGTTTTACAGCCCTCTCTAAGCGGTTTACAGAATCAGGATATTGCCCCAACAATCTGGCTCCTCAGTTTACTGACCTTGGAAGGATGGAAGTCTGAGCCAACTTTGAGCCGGTGAAGATCGAACTCCTGGCAGTGGGCAGAGTTTTAAAATAGAGAACTTGGATGAAATATTTAAACATACCCCATCTCTCCCTATATGTGTTTCATGATACGTCGTCCTGAGAACTGTAAAAAATAATCCCAACTTGAAGGGACCTGAAAATCTTTTGGGTTCCAAAATGTTTGGATTTTCATTACAGTTTAAAGAAAGAGCAAAGGAGATAGAAAAGGGGTAAGTGTGGGTAAGTGTGAATTCTGGAAGGGAGATATAGGAGGCAGGCAGAAAAATTACTAATGGAAAGTGAAAGACACACACAGATGAAGCACACAAAAAAAAGTGACTTGACTATAATTACCAGTTCCAGTTCCTCAAATCTGGCCATTGTAACTTGACTTTAGACACCTGTCAGTTGATTTGTATTTATTTCTAACAACCATAATCTCTGTTGGGACAAGATGAAAAAAAGCTATTTTTGAGCTAGTCTTGCCCAATACTGCAACTGAAAGAAATTGTAGGTGAAGTTTTGGATAAATAACACCCAGTAAATCCAGAAAGCCTCCGAAATTCTATTTCACACGCCAGTGTAGAAAGTAGTTAGCTGAAGTGCAAACAATTCTGCCATGTGCACGTTCCTTTACCACTTCTTCACAGTATTTATGAACTGCAAAGCAAAAAAAAAAAGCTATACTGTCAGAAGTACTGCATACTTTGGTTGAGTAGACTTTAGTCTTGAAAAGCCAGAGGATGATACTAGCTGCAGAGCCTTAAAACTTCATCCCGCTTTTTTCATGCTGTTACATGTTGAAGATGAAGTTTTTAAGCCTTTGGTTTGTTAAATAGATCAATGTATGAGGGGACCTTGGTGCTCTCTGAGCTTGCTTGTTTCTCTGCAGACGTTTCATTACCCAAACTAGATAACATCATCAGTCCTGGTAAGGAGTGCAGTTTGCTGTCAGTTTGTATTCTGGAGGCTGGGTGGGGTGGTCTTAAAGATTCTTTGGTTGGGCTGTTTTCTCTTGGCTCTTTGGCAGTTCCTTGATTGGGGTATTGTTTACTTGTTTACTTGACTGTTGATCTGATGTTGACCTTGGAATTAACCTATGCTGATCTGGGTGCTGATTGCTGCTGGAGAGGCACTTGGGTCTTTTTGTTCCTTTTATTGGGTGATAGTCTCTTTTGCATAGTCTATAGATGTCGAAAGAGTGCAGAGAAGAACAACAAAGATGATCAGGGGACTGGAGGCTAAAACATAAAGAATGGTTGCTGGAACTGAGTATGTCTAGTTTGATGAAAAGAAGGACTAGAGTTGACATGATAGCAGTGTTCCAATATCTCAGGGGCTTCCACAAAGAATAGGGAGTCAAGCTATTCTCCAAAGCACCTGAGGGTAGGACAAGAAGCCATGGATGGAAACTAATCAAGGTGTCATGCTCTTGGTAGAGTCGGACTCTGAGGTAGAGGAGAAACAGTCAACAGGGAGTGGAGGTGTGGCTCCGGAGGTTGTTGGAGGAGGCTGGAGAAGGGCAGAGGCCGGCTGGGCAGTCAGAGGAAGAACTAGGCCCATTCCCTCTTCATCCTATTACACGCAGGGAGGAATAGAGAAGGAAACAACTTGGCTTACGAGAGAGGAAGCAGCCATGATCCCCCTCATTTAGTTGCAGCTGGGGAGAATAGCATATAAGAGAGACGGTTACAACACAGCATTTCCAGAAGCAAAGCGTGTTTTATTTTGGGCTGAAGTTATCTTGGTTGGCATCCTTCCAACAGACTGCCTTGTTATCTCCTTGAAGTTGGTAATTACTTATCCTGGTCCATTGTGGAATTTCCTTTAGTGTAGTTTGTTTGGTTTTTTATTTCACCTCTATCTGCTCATTAAGTTCGGACAGTATTGCTTTCTTTTAAAGATTATTTTTGAGTAAGTTTTATCTCCAACTGAGAATTATTGAACAGTGGGGCCAAGTTGGAGGCATTAAAGGACATTTATTTACGTTTTGGATTTTGTTACATTTTTGTTACGTTTGTGTTACACTCCAGGTCATCACACAAGGAGAAAAGCTTGTGGATGCTCCAACACTGGAAGTTTTTAAGAAGAGATAGGATAACCATTTTTCTAAAGTGGTATAGGGTTACCTGCCTAAGCAGGGGGCTGGACTAGAAGACCTCCAAGGTTCCTTTCAGCTTCTCTTCTCTTCTGTTGTTAATGTCTATGTGTCTCTTGATGGCTGATTTGTCAGACTGCCAGACCTCTAGAAATTCCCTGACATTTTTGGTCTTGGCTTGGTCTAGGATGGTCACATTTTCCCAATTGAAACTATGGTTAAATCTGTCTATATTTTGTGATGGCTAGTTGGTGTTCGTCGATGCGGTTTGTCAGTTTTCTGCCTGTTTGTCCTACATAGCAGTTGTTGCAGTCCTTACATTGTATGTTGTAGATGACTCCTGTTTTTTTCTTCTGGGGTTCTTGGGTCTTTTGGTCTGCTTAGGATGTTCTGAAGGGCTTTAGTTGACGAGTGTGCTATGCTGATTCCATGTGGTTGTATCAGTGTATACACACCGTAAGTGGAAATATATCCCCCTCTTCTAACTTCACAATTTTGTCTGGTTCACTAGGTAATTCTCAAACAGCCGAATGAAAAGAAAACAATGACAAGTTGTGGTCGGCAATCCTTACATACACTGATTATTGTATTCTGTTCGCTCTTGTCAGCAGGTAAGTCTGATTTTTTCATTTATCAGTGGCTTTTATTATGATTTCAAATCCCTGAAATATCTGCTGTGCTCAAGCTCTAGGTAGTTGCTAAGAAAAACTAAAATAACATCTTTTTTTTTAATGAGCTTTTCACGGGTCAGTACAGAGTTAATGAAAGACAATAGAAGAAAGTGACATTTGTTTTTCTTACAAAAGCTCCTTTCACCATCTGGTTGTTTGGTTGCTGTTTGTTTTTAATCAACCGTAGAGCTGATATGTCTCAGGAAAGGCAAGTCAGCCATCCTAGCAATAGTTTACTTATTTAATATATGTGGATATTATTTCCTGCTGCTCATTGGTTCAATAGAGCAACACCAGTAAAAATAACCTATAGGCAGATATTTCAAGACCTGTGTATACCTTCAGTAGGAAGATCTTTCAAAAGCAGAGGGGAAACAGATTTAAAAGGGTTTTAAGAAGGGATTGATCAGCAACTCAGATAAGGTGGTATAGAAGAACAATGGCATTTCCAGGTTGACATGGACTTTGTGATTATAACTAGGACTAAGGTTAGGTCAAGATGGCGTTAGCAAAGGTCCACCACAGGGGTGTCAAACATGTGGCCTGAGGGCTGGATCCTGCCTGCGATAGGCCGCAGAGTTGGCCCACGATAGGCCATGGAGTTGGCTCGCGGGCCATCCCAGAGATGGTGAGAGACTGGCCCCTGCTGCCCAGGGCCTGGCCACACCCATTCAGTCAGCAACAACCAGGCCACATCCACCTCGGCCCCCCAAGGACAAACAAAATCCCGATGCAGCCTACGACAGGATCGAGTTTGACGCCCCGGTCTACCACATGTAAAAAAAAATCAGGTGTGGTTTTGATTATATGGCTGTGGCCATGATCTTGCCCCTCCTTCTCAAGGACAAGTTGGAACAGATCAAGAGATAATGACTGACTCTCCTGTTTCTGAAAAGGGCACAATCTACTCATTGTCTAGATGTGTCTCCCATCCTAGCTAAAAGAAGCTGCCATTTTTACCTCCACGAAGGTAGGTTTTGATTTAATTGTCTCTGATGTGAAGCACAGCCACTACAACCACAGACTCCGAAAGGACTCTCACAAGGCTTATTGATCGCAATAGATAGATTGCAATAGATGTTTGGGGTGGCTTTTTTAATCTTTTTGTTCTCATGAATGTCATGGACACCTTTGTATGTATTTGATGCATCATTAACTGCAGACAGTCAGGGGGCTTGGTCTCGGACAACTCCTGGGTTGTATTGATTTCAACAGGGAAATTAAAGGGCTTTGTTTACCGGAAAAATCAATGGGACTTAGCCATTAGAGCCTAATCAGTCCGTGAAATGGAGAATCTCATTTCACATGTAAGGCTGAAGCGTTGGGGAAAAAAATGAAACCACATCTTTGGTTGGAAGAAAAACGTTAAGCCTACGGACCCACAAAATTAAGATACTTCCAGCTGATTGGAGATATAGGATTCCACCAGTGTTTTTCAAACTTGCGCCCACTTTAAGACGTGTGGAATTTTCAGCCTCCAGAATTCCCCAGCCAGCATATTTCCCAGTGAGCAGTCAGCATAGAGGGTGGCGTTAGAACCCAACATACTGGCTGGCAATTCTGGGAACTGAAGTCCACGCATCTTAAACTGGCCAAGATTGAAAAACACTGCATTGTACTGTAAAGTGTTAAAAATGGTATTCGGTCAATGTCCGTTCCGATGAGAAGAAAAAACGTGGGGACTTTTTGATCGAAACTAATCTAAGCTATGATCCTATTGTAAGTGTTTGGGGAAATTTCATTTTGTTTTGTTTTGCCCCCACATTCACAGCTGTGGCATTATGGCAGAGGTCTCCAAACTTGGCAACTTTAAGACTTGTGGACTTCAACTCCCAGAATTCCTCAGCCAGTTGAAGTCCACAAGTCTTAATGTTGTCAAGTTTGGGGACCCCTGCATTAAGGAAATCCAAGATCTATCTGAGATTTCAGAGGTGTGTGTGCATATGATGAAGGGAATAGATCTTGGAGAATGAGGGGGAAAGATCTTGCTTGGGGATCCGTTAGACAAGAGCAGCAGGATACACACACGCAATCACTTTTAACACTCAGAGAAAGAAACTTAGGAAGCAGATGCCATAATGGCTCAAGAAGGCGACGGGAAGTTTATACTTGGCAGATTTGACAGATTCAAATCTGTTAATATAATCTTACAATTATTATTGTTCTGTTCATTTGCATGTACACTGAGCATTTCTGTACTGGAGACAGATTCCTTGTGTGTCAAATCACACTTGGCCAAATAAAATTCCGTGCAATAAAGTAGAATTAATTCATCTAATTGTGTTTCCTGTCTGGTGTATCTGGGAGGCCTGACATCCATCCTGCAAATTTCCTAAAGTTTCTTTCCCTGACTGTTAAAGCCACTGGGAACTCCTGCCACTTTGTCTAATACTGGTAGTCTTCAATTTACGGCCACAATTGAGACCAACTTTTATGTTGCCAAGTGAGACATTTGTTCAACGAGTTTTGCCCCGTTTTTAAGATTTTTCTCGCCGTATTTGTTAAGCGGATCATTGGAGTTCTTGATTCGGTAACACTGTTGTGGAGTGAACCTGGTTTCCCCATTGACTTTGCTTTGTCAGCAGGTCGCAAAAGGGAATCACGTGACTCCAGGACACTGCAGCCGTCATAAATGTGAGTCAAGCATCTGAATGTAAATCACGTGACCATGCAGATACTGCCAACAGTCAAAAGTGTGAAAAATGTTCATAACTGACTTTTTTTCAGTGCCTTTGTAACTTTGAACAGTCACTAAAGTCGAGGGCTACCTGTACTTTCCTAGGTGGCATGGCTTCCCCTCATTTCCCCCAAGGACATAGGATTCATGCCATTGCAGAAATGTACCTGCTTTGCAGTGCTACATAAAAGCTAATTGTTCTTCTTTTCTGTTGCCAATGAGTTACAGAGAGATTTACACCTTGCCTTACAGCTTTCTCTGCACATTTTCGAGTCTGTGAGCCATACACCGATTACAAAGGTCGTTCTCACTTTGGATTCCATTGTCCCCGACTGTCGGACAATAAATCATACATCTTTTGCTGTCACCACAACAACACCGTGTTTAAATATTGCTGTAATGAAACGGAGTTTCAGACTGTTATGCAGATGAATCTAACAGGCAGTGCAGATGGATACATGCATAAGTAAGTAAACATCATCCACTGAAGTTACCTCTTCCTTTTTTTTCTGTAATCAAAATTTGATTTTTCCATATTCAAAGTTTTACTGAGTCATGAAAGCAGGTAGCAAAAATGTGTTTAATTGCCCATGGAGCTAAAAATGAAAGAAGTAAATGACGCTGGAAAACGAGGAGGAGAGGGAATTGCCATTTTTTTTCTGCAGAGCAGAAATGTTATACTTGGCTAATTGCTATTTTAAACTTGTGCAGGCTTTGCATATTAATTACTTCTACTCATTTGCACCTAAACAGTGAGGTGCACTTGGTTGTACGATCCCTGAAGTGTAGCCTCTTCATAAATTTTCTTTTTATATTTTTATTCTAAATCCCATGGCCTTTTTTTATTGCTTCCCTCCTTCCTTATATTTCCTTTTATTTTTGGAAATCCCTTTTAAAAACTCTGGTTGAAAGCCGGTGAAGAAAGCAATTGAATTTCACAGCAGGTTTATATATGAAAGGAGTTTTCACCAGAGCGTAGATTCCGAATTTGCTTCTTAGTGCCAACACTCAGAGCTGAGAAACAGCAAACTAGAGTCTAGTTGGATAATGGGAACTTCCCATCAGTGTGTCATTAGCAAAGCCATATACATGGAGTTTCAAACAGAGGTGGTATTTAGCAGGTTCTGACCAGTTCTGGAGAACCGGTAGTGGAAATTTTGATTAGTTCAGAGAACCAGCAAATACCACCTCTGACTGGAGATTTTACAGTACCCTTCCCCTGCCACGCCCACCAAGCTACACCCACAGAACCAGTAGTAAAAAAATTTGAATCTCACCACTGATTTCAATCATGTCTTGTGGCTGCCATCTTGACTTTTTTGACCCACTCCCCTGGATACACTTATTGGATGCTTCCATTGCCTCTTTCAACCAAGGGTCATTTCTTTTATTTGCACTCATAATTGGATTACTTTGGGGTGAATTGCTGTTTGGAATCCAATATGGCAATGTGATGCTGGTTTATCTGGACAACACACACAATATCAACCAACTCTGGTCTGTAACATTATAAAAATGGATTGAACCAAAGTTTGTCCATAGTAAGATGAAACATCAAATGGAGGTTAGTTGAAAATTGAAGTTAACATTTTCAATTTATCTATAGTTGTATGGAGAAGAAAGTAAAATGAAAAAAAGATGCATACCTGAAGGATATTCATATAATATTAAACCAAGACTTATGATCTAGGCTTCTTAATTGCATCTTTTCCCAGTTCAAGTATTGATGATCTATTTTTGTGGATGTAAACATATAAATACATAGAATGATGATCTACTGATTGATCTCACACTTCAACCCTTGAAGTTTCTGCTTATTTGGTTTAAATGCCAGGTGGTTTTATATGAATCAGAATATTTGTTAGTCCCTCCCTGTAGGCACTTGCATAGATTGAAAGCTCTGTTCTTATGTCAACAAGAATGTTCTTTGGCTTGATACAGTTAGAAAAATAAAATATAGTACATGTGGAATCCCGATATCTTTGAAAGGAGGTCTCACAACCCAGATCAAATTCAGTCACCTTCTGCTTATGCTGGAGTTGACATTCTGCTGGTCTTTATGGAGATACAGAAGGAGAAGACCTCAGTGTAAGTCCTGGGCAGATATAACTAAAGAATGTCTGTCTTGGAAGCTGGTGGGAAGCAGAAGATGATTGGATCTGTGAATGGTCAGGCTAAAGTAAAGGTCACAGAAAATGATCTTCCTCAAAGCTTCTCTCCATTTCTTACACCTCTCTTGTAAGTCAAAAATTACCTGTATACATCAAATAAATAAATACACCCCCCGCCCCATGGAATTACAGTTGGAGTCATTTTGTAAAGCTTCTCCAGCAGAGAAATATGTATGGAACAGATTTCTTGAAGTTAGAAATAAATTATTAACTATAGCTTTTTCAATTTTTCAGTTTTAAATTTCATCCAATTTTGGGTTAAGATGAATGAACAGCAGGAATGTTTACATTTTTGAAACAAAATGTACTTTATTAAATGTCTACAAAGAATAAAATATTAACCAAAAAATAGGGAAAAAATTTCAAGAGGGAGAAAGAAAGTAAAAAGTAATTTAGGCATTTGTTTGACACAGTTACAAAATACATTAAGCTTTTCATCTGAAATTTTGTAATGAACAATATTTCTATCTTCATCAACCATTCTAATTGTCAAATCCAAGAATTAATATAGTATTCTTTCTGCCTCAAGTAAAAAGCCCAGCAGTGGTTTCCACATAGAAACAAAGGTAGATGCTCATTTCTTTCATCTGAGTATTTAGTTTCGCACCTCAGCCAATTCCATTAATTTTACCATCCATTTCTCCATTGTGGGGATCTGTAGCTCTTTCGATCTCTGTACATTCAGTACGAAAATCTTTACTGCTGTTATCTTACCTAGGAACAAAGTACCATATTTTGAGAGGAACGTTTCCTGAAACAAAATGTGCTTTACATATTTTGATGACGCTTTTAGATGAAGCACGATAGGAAGGAGGAGTTCTCCCATGCAAAATAAGGATCCTTATTATTGTTGTCATTCTAGAAGTGCTTTGTAGTGTGGTGTCAGATTGAGTGGTTGCCATGCAGAATTATACAAGGCATCTGATTATTTGGATTACAGGGCTGATATAAAGAGGTTTCTTTTTATTTTTAATCCCCAAATGTTACTGATGAATCTGTTGAGAGAAGCAAGGAACACGAGAAAAAAATATTGAAGGGGGATTGGAGAGAGTGTTTTTGAAAGTAGCATGCCATGCTTAGAATGTCTTTTTTGCCCCCAAAATGCCCTACGGAAATTTGACTGTGTCGTAACAAACATTCTCTTGATTTGCTATTATTGCATGCATTGCATGCCTTATTTTCAATTTAGAATTGCATTTTTTTGAACTGGATTGCTGGCAGAGGGTTGCAGGATGCCGTCCCAGCCAAAAACGGAGATTGAGAGCCCATTTTCATTGGCAGAGGCACCACAAGCCAGTCCTTCTCTGTTTCTAGAGCAGCTCGCGGGCCTTCAGTTCAATAGCCCTGCCTTATGCCATTGCTGACATGCAAAAGAATTTTACTGAGTCTTACCCCATCCGTGAAGGGGAGAATTGTTTGTTAGGTCCTCCTCACTTCTCTGTTTCCTAGAAAATCAGATTGGCTTGGCTTTTCACTGAATCTTCTATTTTCAGTTATTCATGGGATTTTACCATTTTATTCTGGGGAACCCTTTCAGTATTGGTGTATACCTTTTTTATAGATTTTATGGTAACCTGCTTTAGCAGAAAAATGATGTAAAACTATGACACACACCAATGAGTCATGGGTTTTGTTGGCTGGTGGGGGAATTCTGGGAGTTGAAGTCCACCCATCTTAAAGTTGCCAAGGTTGAGAAACACTGGATTAAACCTTTTCTCTGCTTTGAGAATCCTTGCTAAGTTCTCCCCAAACATCAAACAGTAGGAAACTGTTTGAAAACAGCAGGGAAAGAATTGCTTTGAAAGCCCATTTGCTGATCTCTATAAGAAAATGATTTAAATTGAGATGCAATTCTCAAAGATATAGTTCCTTCTTCTATTATTGTGTGTGCATTTCTTAGCAAATTGGGGTTGACTTTGGTGACTTACTTCCATTATGCGGAATTATGGAGTGTGGAGTGAGCTGAGCTAACTACCGTAAATGAACAAATAAGAGCAGATGAAATGACTGCTTTTTAAAATAATGAAAAGTGTCACAGATGTTCTTTTGGTCTGTCCATTTCAAGTATTAATGCTAAAATAAATCATCATTAAAGACCAATGAGCAAGTCACCAAGAGGAGAATTGTAGTCCTTGAGTGAAACTGATATTTTTTTGCTGCTGAATTGTAGAAGATTTATATGCATTTCCAATGATCTTTTGTTTTAATATTTCTCCTAACAGAGTATATGTATTTTCCAGTGCCTTTTCTTTAATATAATGCATTTTATTGAATTGAATTGCAACCCTCTTTGAGTCCATTTAAAAATAACAACAATAAATGTTATGACCAAATACATCTTACGCATCATTATCTTTATTTATTTTGGGGCCCAGTTATTCACATTTTAATCTCTTCTTTTGTATTCTCTCTATTAGTGTAGAAAATGCACATTTTAGGTTCTTTTTCTATGCTTCTACATTTGGGAGGTAGCCAATGAGAAAGTTTCTGTTGAAGCACAAATTGATGAACCTATACCCACTTTTTTCTCCTTTTCACAGGACATAAACTCATCCTGTTTTCATTTATCACTCTTCCATCTTTTTGTAATACTTGTTTCACTTCATTGGTGCTAATTGATTGGAACAGCTGTGGGGCATCCTCAGAGGATGTATGTATGTATGTATGTATATATATATGTGTGTGTGTGTGTGTGTGTGTGTGTGTCTAGTTATAGCTATGGTCATCAGACTGAAGACTCTACCTGTTTTTGGAATATGCTTCAAAGAATTTTAAAAGGAGGCAGCAGTTGCAGCCACTATCTTGGGTGTTTTATCCTCCCTCCCACAGATGTTTCTGAAGAGGTGGCATTTTTCAACACTTCCCCCCCCCCCCGATGAAAATGGAACAAGGTCACAATTCTGATTGGACGTTATGAGGTCACTACATGGCAAAATCTCAATCTGGACTGTGTCACCAGGGACAATTTAAGCCTAACAAGCATTTTGATCATTCTGAGGAGAGACGTTTTAAATAGGCCATGAAAGTTTGTGTCAACCCCATACCTCCCAATAAAAGGAAATAACTTTTTTAAACACACACACACACACACACACACACACACACACACACACATATATAATTTTACTCAAAACGAGATTAAAATACAAAATACCCCAAAGAATTTTTAAAAAAGAATCAAAAAGTAAAAGGACCAAAACTTAGAACAATTAAAAAGAAAAAATTGCATCAAAGAAACACATATACCCATAAATCCTTTCTAGCTGAATACTGATTAACAGATTACCACAAACAT